AAATGTCACTTATTCAGCTGAACTACCAATTACACCCATTTAGTAAAGACATTTAGCTAATGAGGAAAATTTGAGTATACCCGTTTGTCAGTGAACGAGTGAGTTAGTGTGAGGCTGTAAGAGTGTGTGTGTGTGTGTGTGTGTGTGTGTGTGTGTGTGTGTGTGTGTGTGTGTGAGTGTGAGTGTATCAGGTCGAGCAGCACCAGGTGCTGCAGCAGCCTCTGATCTCAGTCTGTGAAGCTCCTTATCAGTAAGCGAGTGGTGGATAGTTTATCTCTCCACCTCTCATATCTTTTTCTTAGGACAGATAGTATCTCGCTTAAACACCCTTAACCAAAGAGGGGTGAGGAACTTCTTGTCTCTCTCTCACACACACCCCTCCTTCAGTTGTTTCCCCTCTTCCCACTTTTCATCACCTCCCTCATGGAGATGCAGTCACAACCACTGACGATAGGGAAAGGCATAGGGCAAGCTGCCGTTTAGCATGCAGGCACTGCTCTCTCTTCTGTTGTACTTCAATGCAAATGTTGTCCCATATTTCCCCTCCTAACTTCTTCCTCCTGCAGCCCTGAAACACTCCGTCCTTTCCTTCTTTCTCTTGTTTATCATTTGTCCTCTGTCTTTCATGTTTCATGTTGCGTATAGTGCAAGAATAAATTTAATCCTACATTGTGGGTATGACAGAATGTTACAGTATGAAGGACTTGAATACATAAAGTACATGTACTACTACTATTACATTAGTTTTTTGCCATTGTGTTACAGTTACTGTGTGCTAAGAAGTACGTAGATGAACTGTATGCATCTCCTCATCACTTTGGGAAGGCTTTTGTCACAGTGTTTCTAACATATGCTTACTGGTCATCACCCACAATGCTTCTGGATAAACAAATTACACATTTTAACTTTCTGCATCCACAGAATCGCTGGAGTCTGCATGACGTGAATTTTGTCATACCAAAGTCCCTTCGGTTGCCGTGTGATGTGTGATCTAAACATGTAGTGAAGTGGGCGATAAATAAAACCCGTTATCACAGAATATGTAATTCCATATCATGATTTATGCAACTACAGTATGCATATGTGAAAAAAGAAAGCACATTAAAACAGTGGATCTCATCTGAACATACCTTTCTGCTGTCTCTGGGATGTGTTTATGTCTGTAAATCCGATCATTTGAAATTACAAATGCCTTTAAGCAAATGACTAATCTCATCACTACAGTCTTTCCAGTCCCAGAGAAAAACAAACATACTAAATAACAAATACGGATTCAGAGAAACAGAGAGATGTTGTTTTAGCAAATATCCATTATATACACAGTATGTACAGGTACTGCTTTAGTAAGTGGTTTAGCAGACATGCCGGGTAAAGCTTATTTGAATAGACCTTAAGAAAGAAAGAAGAAGAAAGAAAGAAGAAAGAAAGAAAGAAAGAAAGAAAGAAAGAAGAAAGAAAGAAAGAAAGAAAAGAAAGAAGAAAGAAGAAAAAAGAAAGAAAGAAAGAAGAAAGAAAGAAAGAAAGAAAGAAAGAAAGAAAGAAAGAAAGAAAGAAAGAAAGAAAGAAAGAAAGAAAGAAAGAAAGAAAGAAAATGAAGAGTTATGTACTAAGTGCCGAAGAAAATGGGAATCAAGGAGGGTTAACAAGCAGTGGAAGACAAAAACAAAAAGTAGCAGGAAAACAGAAAAGTGAATTCTGAAAGATCAAGATGTCATGTGAAGTCATGTGAGAGACAAGTATCTCAAAGAAAATTGTCAATAGAAGAAGAATTCTCCTATGGAATATAGAAACAGAGGCACAAAAGGATTAATAGAAAAAGAGGGAAGCAGCAAGAGACTATGGAGTACATAAAGAAACAAAGCCCAGTGGGACTTGGGGTGGCTCTGTGGCCTTCCATAATGGCCTGCAGCCAGTGCAGTGATATAACGGTGCCATTAAATAGGGGATATAGGCCATTAGTTTGGCTGGCTGGAGTGATAGGGGAAAAAGAGCCTGACAGCACACAAATAGCATCTATGCAATGGAGCAGAGATCAATCAGAGAGATGGGAGTGGACTGTGGAGGACAACAAAAGCAGAGAAGGTGTGTGTATGTGTGTGTGGTGTGTGTGTGTGTGGGGGGGGTTATCAGTCAGGAAAGGAGGAAGAGGAGAAAGGGTGTGGAGACCTAAAGGGCAAAGCGAGGGATGATAACCTTTGAAGGCTTGAGGGTATGTAGGGTGTGAGTGAGGTGAGTGGGGGTGCATGCTCAGATTGAATGTGCATATATCCGTGTGATAAAGCACTTTTTGACCTCTGCCACTGCCCCATCAGTGCTACTGCATGCACCACTCTGGCCATCTCTCCATCTCACATCTCCCCGACCTCCAGCTAAACATCTTTCATGCCGTCCACCATCTTACACTCTGTGTCCATAGGCTGTGGACTGATAAAACCCAATTCATTCCAGTGTGTCTTTCTATACCAAGTCTATTACTGTATATGTAAGAGGGCGCACGGCTATCGCCATTGCCACCCACCCACCCATCCATCCATCGTCAATCGCTTATACTGTGTACAGGGTCGCGGGGGGCTGGAGCCAATCCCAGCTGACAATGCCCGAAAGGCAGGGTACACCCTGGACAGGCCACCAGTCCATCGCAGGGTGCCATTGCCACCCCTTTCAATAAAATTTGTCATTTCGTGACATCAAGATCAATTATGTCTGAGAAGTCAAGTTTTTTTTGTATTGCAAGACAAAAGACACAATATTGACATGACATACACTGGGAAATAAGACAAAAACAAACAAAAAAATGATAAAAATAAACATAAATACATGAATTAAAATAAAATAAATTAATTGATCTTGTGTGTATGTGTCCTATATTGTCAGAGTTGCAAGATGACTGTTGGATGGGGGATAGAGAGAGGGCGAGAGGCTGGTGGGGAGATACAGGGGGGCCAAAGAGGAACCAAACAGAACAAAGAGAATAGTTTAATAAAATAAATTAAAATTAAAATAATTAAATGGAATACAGCTGTTACTATCACCATGAATTCAAGGTTTTAACATTTGACTATGAATATTAATTCTAACAAATAAACAATTATATAAAAATAATGCTGTGATGATTACTGCAGTATTCATTCTACGTACAGAATCATCCTACACTATGAAAAAGTCCAATACAAACCATAACTCAGCAGTGATTCAGAAACAATTTCTGCAGCAATTTGCTTTTGAGTCAATTTTGTAGCAAGTTGGACAGTGTGTAATCAGTCAGTCACCAAATTTTCTCAGGTCATTAAGGGTTTTAAAGAACTTCAAAAGAAGCTTTGTGAGGGGTTTTGGTAATAGTATCTGTAAAATACTTTGTGTTCTCCACTCTCCTCCATCCGGCCCAACCCCCATCCTCCTATCTTTATCCCTCTACAGTCCTGATTTATGGCCCCATCCCTGCCTGCACTCATTCCCCTCGCCTTCACTCCTCCTCACATGCCGAACACAGACCCACACAGACAATTCTAAAAGCATACACTTTAAACTGTGAACAGCGGTGCATGTTTGAGAGATTGAGGGGAAAGAAGGGGTGGGGGTGCCGTTTACGGGAAACAAACCCCTCGCTAAACTCCTCCCACAACTGTCCATCTTCCTGTCACATTCATCTGACTTCTCTCCTTGAAGTTTTGGCACACACACACACACACACACACACACACACACACGCACACACACGCTATAATAGACATCTGATTTTACAAATCTTTAATGAATAGTGGTCGGGAAAGAAAATAAATAAATAAAGAGTGCAGGTTTTTCCATTTACAAGACAGCTTAATTTGGCTTTACATGAGTGCGGAAGAGTTAAACGGAGTGGAGGACCTGCAGAGGAGGCCCAGAAAATTCTGCGGTACAATCCTTTTACACTCCACTGCTTTTGCTGCAGTGCCCTGTATTACGCGCCCATCCCTCCATCCTTCTATCTTACCCTCCTCCTCTCCTCCGACCCCGACACCACCGCTCACTTAAAGTGCAGCTGAGCTGATCCTTATCCACTGTCTCTCAAGCTAATACTTGAGGCTAAAGGAAGGGGGTGGGGGCTTATTTATGAAGGGAGATAAAAACCAAGGACCACACGCGCGGATGCAGCAGGCCCGTGGAGAATCGCTCACAATATGTGTCCAAAAACAGAAATGTCACATGAATATGAACAAGTAGCCTTATGTCAAATCGATACAAAGATCGCTTTGTTGCTACTTTGGTGTTTCCTGTAAATCTGTAGATGTGTATCTAATAAGATAAACATCACTATCCATTCTTTGAAGGTGGTAGAGAGGAGAGGAGAAAGACAAGGCAGAAAGAGAATGGCAGGTGGAGGAAGAGGACAGGTAACATAAAAAAAAAAAAGCCTGCAAAGCAATTCAATGGAGGGAAGCAGGAAAAAAAATGAGGACAGAACAAAAAAGTTTAGGATGAACAATCTGAGTAATCTGGACCTGGACGGTCCGGTCTGATCCTCAACTGTAAAACACAAACTCATGATTCTGCAAAACTAAGAAAGAATTCACTGCCTTGTAAAGAGGTATCACAGCCTTTGCTTGCATTCACAGTGGAGGCATAAGTAGCGAGTGCAGCCCAGTGAGCAATTTACTGTCTCTGTGTCAGTGACAAGGAAGCAGTTAGAGTAGCATTGTGCAAAGCCGTAAACATACTGCTGGCCCATGGGAAATCGATACGGCGCTTTGGAGCATGGTATTATACCGCTGTGATTCTCTCCCTTTTTTACTTTGCACCCACCGCACTCTCCTCTAGCAACGCTATCCTGTCATCCCGCCTCCCCTCTCTCAGGATAACCTGGCTTACCTGACAGTCCTGACGATTATCGCATTCCTTTTTATTATTGCTCACCACAGATCCAATTTCTCCTCACAAGGAGAAATCCAGCCAAACTGAAACACAAAATGTCTCTAATAGAGGGCTGGGGTTTGTACTATTGGGTTGTGAAAAATGACACCGCCTCATAGCTGCGCTGTTAACACTGTGGGGGGTGCAAACACAAACACACGCACATCAACAATTGCACATCCAATTTGTCACAGTTACAGACACATATGACACTGAAGAGGTGACGGTGTGACTGGAGGACAGAAAGAGGGACAGTGCAGTGTGTGTGTGTGTGTGTGTGTGTGTGTGTGTGTGTGTGTGTACACGCGCATGCATATGTAGTTACTGTACTCACGTTCTTCTTCTTTGGGGTCCAACTGTGTGACACTTATGGAGAGGCGGTCCACGCGTTCCTGCAGGGAGTTGACCCGGAAAGAGAAGGTGTGTGCCTCGTTGAACAGCTCTCCAAACAAGTCTTCTGCATATTTACCTGCATGCGCACATGCACACATTCACACAATAAGTTTTTTTAACCATCATGAAATACTCAACTAACATCAGCAACAAAGTGTTAAAAAGAAATGGCTGTTAAAAATAATAGTGTGGAATGAATAAATATAATAAGAAATTTCATTTCTCTTTGGGTTTCACTTTAGCTGTTAGTTACGTTTCACATCATCTGACTCTGGGGACTTGTAGTCCTTTTGTTAAAAAAAAAAAAAACAGCAAACTAAACTACTTTGTCAGATGCAATCACAGCAAATTAAAAGTGCCCACGATGGAGGCTAACTGTTCTGGAGATGTGTGATACCAGAGTTGGGGAAGGGGGAGTAAACCAATGAGAAAAACACTTTTGCTACAATGGTACCAGCCATGCAGGTTTTGTCAAACTTCACTAAATCAAGGCAACGACTTCCATTGTCGGCCACCATTTCCTTCATGAAATGAATTAGGCTTTTTTAGCCTCCATAAATCTTAGTGGACTCATGTCACATGACTCATGCCCACATGGAGCAGTATGCACTGTGTTTTTGCACCCTTCACAGCACAAAGCTTTACATTAGAACTATGCCAAACAAAACATACTCCAAAATTCAGTGATTTACTGTGGAGAATATTTATGGATTTGTTGTAGAAAATAGAAAAGAGTGCTGAATTTGTATATCCTACATAAAATGCTTTTCACTAGTGTCGATTTTAGGATCTTTACACTCCAAATATCTCAAAATCTTTTAAATCTTCCATTAGCAGGATTTCTTACTATACCAAAGGAACCATTACCACAATGTGCAGTATCTTCATTGATAGTATCATTCAATATTATAGTTATTTTTTAGACATTTAGCTGGCGCTTTTATCTAAAGCAACTTATAATTGCTACATATGTCAGAGGTTGCATACTACTGGAGCAAGGTAAGTGTCTTACTCAGTGAACACATCAGTGGATGGGTCACAGTGGGAATCGGATGCAGGTCTCTCACATCAAAGGCATGAGTCTTATCCATTTCACCATAATCAATTTTTATCCAAATATCTTGTGCTGTGGGAATGTGGAACTAGGTTCAGGAGATCTAGGTTTGTGTTAAGTTTCTGGCAAAATGTTTAATGTAAAAAATAGGGAAAATTATGTCATTAAAAACACAATAAAATTAAGCTTATTTTTAAATACTTCATAGCTGTACCTCTTTTTTAGCTGCGTCATTGTTCACAGAGCAATTCAGGAGCAACAGCACAGGAGACTTATCTGAAATGGCCTAACCACAAAACTAACCGTAACAGAAACGGAGGGCAGCAAGACTCGGGCCTGTTTGCTGCTTCGACACTCTCAGCTCTGGTGCTGACTGTCAGTGAAGTTGGCTAAACTATTTTTGAACCCAACGCAGGTACAACCTTCTCTACTACCATCCTGTATGATTGACTCTTCGGCTGACAGTGCTGTCAGCAACCCCGGTGGGAGAGGCGCTCCATGGTGCGCGTGGATTTTATAACTGAACTATGACCAGGGCATCCCCACTTTTTCTTCTTCTGACTGTCTGGAAATCTGAGGCATTAAAATGTGGGTCTCACTGCTAAAAAAATGTGACTAGTGTAGGCTATTGGACAGGCTACACTAGTCCCCCCGAGCTAATGCATCGGTTTGAAGTTCAGACTTTGAATAAAATCCTGATTCGGGGTCCTGTGCAATTTGATCATAAACGGTGTGAAATTGTGAAAACGGTTTACAGAATTATCAAACTTGTCATGTCATTCTCTGAATATTCTGATGTTTCAAAGCAATGTACTTTACATTTCCAGGAAATGAGCAGAAAAGAATGAAAACTGACAAGAAGGCATTAGCTGACGCACTCCCTAATAGCTGAATGTTCAGCTAATTGACTTAGAGGGAGCAGAGGTGTGCGTGAACAGTATGTGTGCCGTGTGTGTCTATTTAAATAACTGAATGACAGAATGTGTGTGTCCTTGTGGTACTGACTGAGGCTGCTGAGCTGGCGTATGACGTTGGCCAAGGAGATGTTAGTCACACACTCCAGTTCATTCTTGATGTTCCTTGGCAGAACCGTGTGGCACAGGTGCCTGGGCTCGATAGTGCGCTTCACCAGCGGCATCCTTCTGCTGCAACACCACTACCTACAGTCAGATCGGAGGGGGACAGGAGAGAGACATGGGGAATGAAGGAATAGAGAACAAAACTTCATTAGTGGAACAATTCTTGTTACAGACCTTGTGATTTTGCACACAGTAAATTCAATAAACCTGTTTCCCTGATTGCTTTGCTAACACAATGCCAGAGTTAACCCAACAGAGCAATTGGAGCAAAGCATTAGCATTGGAGAGAGTTAGATGACGGAATGTGACGTGAGTTCAAGGGCACGTAGAGAGGGAATACAACGTGAGAAGTACAGTTAAACAGGATCCCGGAGAAATATAAAATGCTACAGAACAGCAGGGAAGTAGTGTTTTGACATTGCTTACAGCTATGTTGCCTCATTTGTTTCACTGACTTAGCAATGTCTTGTCCTTTCCATCATGCACAGCCAGGCTGACTAACCTCAGCACTTTGTCTGCCCAATCAGCCATGCTAATGGCATTAAGGCTGCAGTGTTGGGCTGCTTAGGCTCAGTGTTCCATCATTCACACCAACACCCATAAGGACGCTTGCCCAAAACCACAGAAGACAGAGAGGCTGCAATGATCCATGACCAGAATATGTTTACAGAATTCATACTTACTGCACTTAATACACATTTCTACCTCAAAAACACACAAGAAACTGTTTTAACAGTCAAAGAGCCTGCAACTTCCAGATAGAAGGCATGCTTATGATGTCCACCATTCTAGTTTAGCATATTAGCGTGCTAACATTTACCAACAAGCAGGGGTGTGACGATACACTTAGCTCAGGAGAGGAGACTATATACGATATTGGGTTCATGAGAACGAGAGAAGACACTATTTTAACTCTATTTTTAAGAAATCTTCAATGACAGATTTTATTGTTTCCATCGGGTAGGGTACCCAAAATGATGCCACGCAAACAATTTTAAAGTTGTGGGGACATCTTCTATGCTAATTCCACCCTCACACTCCACGACAACTTTTCACCTCACTGTGAAATATAGTCACATTTTAATAAGCACTAAAAACCAAGTACAGGTGAGGCTGATGGAAATGTCATTAGTTTTTTTGTATTTGGTTATAAGTCAAAAGTGTTGGAGAAATCGATGACGACGACTTGTTGTTCGGTATCTTGTTATAACAAGAAATGTCTATATGTTGTTAAAATGAGAATATTTAGAGATTGAAGGGCAGAGGGCTAAACACCATCGACCAACATTACATTACATTTATTAATTTAGCTGACGCTTTTATCCAAAGCGACTTACAATTGCTTTATGTGTCAGAGTTCGCGCACCTCTGGAGCAACTAGTGGTTAAGTGTCTTGCTCAGGGACACATTGGTGGATGTGTCGCAGTGGGGAATTAAACCCGGGTCTCTCACACCAGAGGCAGGTGTCTTATCCACTGCTCCATCACCACCCGATGACAGTTAATCATGGCAACGACACGCTGTCGTTGCTGTGAGTGTGTGCAATCATGCCCAGACGGACAGACTGACTGACTAGGCTCGACAGTGGAAAGGCCACGTTAAAGCACTGATTAAACTTTAATTGACGTCTTTTAATATCCATCTGTATTCTTAGTGGTGTTGTCGTCGCTGAAGAATAAACGTGATTATTGACCGTATCCATAAAAATGTAGGGCAAGGAAGGCTATTCTAGGAAGTGGCCCAGCTATAGATGGTTAGAGGGGAGAGAGAGAGGGTGCCCAGCAAAAAAGCTTTGTTGAGGTGATTCATCTTGGAAGCGTCTTAAATGGGGGCAAAAACCCAAATCCCTGCCCACTTCTAAAATAACAAGACATTCTCTCTACTCTTTAGAGATTTCTTTTCTTTCCACATTCCCCACACACCCGCACACACATAAACACACATCCCCTCCTGATCCTCACGACCCAAAGTGCGCTGACATTTTCTAAATCCTCCAGCAGTCTTAGTAATGGAGGGCTAACCCTGAGCCATGTTGACCTCGAACATACAATCGGCCTATCACTGCTTAATGTAAGACTTACAGTATGTCCAGGACCGTCTTAAAAATACCAACAAAAAAAAGGATAGAAAGAAAAATTATATCAAAGCACACTCTCAAATTTGGTCGTCAAGAGTTAAATGAGAAGACTGATATCACTCATGTCTGTACACCAGCAACTTCTTGGAGACTCAACCAAGAAATGATCCAGCGCATAGCCTCCCTTAAAATGGCGATTTGCCGTTAAGCGAGTGCATTTCCCAAAGTTTTAAACTTTTCCTTTAACAAACAAAACATCAAAAATGCACAATCTTCAGTCCCTACTCCCTCAGAGCATGAGCATTCTGCTCCTCTTTAATCCAGCCCCTCCTCTGGGATTAATGTGGATTTAAGATCAGAAATCAATAAGGCATTTATTTACCTTTATTCAGCTTATCCGTTTACTTTATGAGAGCAATAAGTGTTCCTATACACTTGTCAAATCTCTGGGGAAAATTAAATCAGTCACAACTGGATATTTCCCTGCCATGCATGCACACTGGCTTATTCAACACAAACACGCAGTGTCCGAAATCACCCACTACTCACTATATAGTGAGCTCGCCATTTTATAGTGCTGTCCGAATGTATAGTGATAATTATTATACCATATTAGTCCACTCAATGTATCCCAGAATGCATTTTGAAAAGTAGTGTACAACCGATGGTTACTAACCAAGCCGTATATACCATCATGCATTGCCTGATAGAAAAAACTGATAGTCAGACGGCAATGACGTAATTAACAGCGCCGAAATAACGATCAGAATAGTGTCCGAAAGTGTTGTTTTAATACAATATAACTCACTATATAGTCCTCTACATTCAACTCCCTACATAGGGGGTAGGGAGTAGTGAAAGAGTGGGGATTTTGGACACAGCCACATGTACAAACACAGATGACAAATGTGTCTGCCGGGTAAGTTCACACTGTTTTTGTACCCCCCGTGCTCATCTTGCTCTCTTCAAGGCCTTTCTCCTCTCTCATCTCCCCATAAAGACTGTGTGTCCTCCTATTTTCTGGGTGATAAGAGTTATTTCTGAGAATGACAGAACAGGTTTGTCTAAGGGGGGCTTTCAGATGGCAGTGAAAGAAGATGACACAGACGGACAAACGGAAGACTAAAAAGGCTACACATCTGCAAGATTATAAATTTATTTTTATATGGACTTTTTAAAAAAAACTAACACTTCACAAATGACAGACAGACAAACACACACACACACACAAGATGATGGTGTCAAAAAAGCAGCAATAGATGAAAGAGAATCATCAATCTCAAACATAAAAAGCACATAGGAATAGGTGTTAAGCGATGCTATTGATTCTGCCAGCCTGAGCTCCATGGGGCGGGCTTTTGAAATAGTTTTGGTTTCAAACTGAGATTTAAGAATCCCCGAAAATGCTGTGTTTCAAAGACATCCACAGTTTCATTAAAATCAATTTGTGAAATTCACTTTTCTGTTATCTAGCTTAATTCTTGTTTGTCATAAGACGCACACATAAGGAAAAAGGACGAGTACTGTAACCTCAACAATTGCGTTCTAGTTTGCGCTCCACTTCTATCCCCGTTTTGGTCCCTGTTATGGATCTAGTGCGTGCAAGCAAGGTTACAAGATTTTTTCTTTGCATAATGTATCAGAAAAACATTAACTTAGGATGATATCTCTTTTCCTTTACAGTATCACAGGCGCAGTTACATTTTCTTGATATTTGACGGCAAGTAAACACAGTTAACTTGCCTTGCTTTTCAAAAAAAAAAAAAAAAAAACTCCTCAGATGGCGTCGCCACACTGCATATGCGCTTGGTGTGTGATTAATGACTGCAGCATACACATGCTGCCTTGCCGATTGGACATAAGATAACTCAAGACTGCTGTTCACGGAAGGGAAGATTTTCTCTGCACAGAGCTGCACACAAGCACGCGCACACACATACCTACATACATGGGGCACTTGTCCACAGAGGTTTGCATACTAATTAAATTTATATATAAATAAATATGAGAGAGAGAGAGAGAGAGAGAGAGAGAGAGAGAGAGAGAGAGAGAGAGAGAGAGAGAGAGAGAGAGAGAGAGAGAGAGAGAGAGAGAGAGAGAGCGCTCTTAATGAGAAATCACTAAACAGAAGGTTTACTCATCTACTAAATAAATACATGATGTTCATTGTGACAAATAATGACAATACATTCAAATCCACAATAGTAACTGTCTGATTGTGTAAGGAAAAAATATATTAGCACAAGGGGCAATATGTGCTTCTTCGAAGTCATTCAAAACTGAGCTCTGGTGAGTTATTTTAAAGTGAAAGAGAATTCAGGAGACTAAATCCAGCAGAATAGATGGCGCAGCAGGTGTAGTGTGACAAGACGGCAAACTATATAGACATTATGTTTTTGATGTGTCAGGTGTTTCTGAAGACTGCAGGCATGTAAGCTTCGAAAAGAATTAATTACTTCTAGGTAACCAAATAGGAAGACAGCCGATTACATGTAAGACCAGTCCAATGCTGCAATGACTGAGATTTGAGGGTGACAATCTATTTAAGAACTCATAAAAGCCGCCATCTTGCAAGATGATACCCTTTGACTCAATCTATGTGAATTATCTGGTGAACAGGTTTTAGATCGACACAGGCCATTCAGATCACGCCGGATAGAGAGTTGCACACAGAGTTTGCATATAAAGTACAGCACTTCAATCGCACTTGAAACTGTTTGCACACGACAAATCCCACCTCACAAACTGAATCTGTCAAGAGTCCCCTTCTGGACATGCAGCTACCTGTGTTTGTCATGAACCCAAGGATGTCAAGTTTGTTTGTTTGTAGTGTTTTGTACACAATGTTCTCCCATGTGTAAAGTGTTGCCTTAAAAAGTGAAAAAAAGTTTTGGCACCATCGCAATATTCACCAAATATTTTTCCACACACGGCGTTATTTTCTCTCACATCGTGCAGCCAATTCATTCACTTTAATGGACCTACTCCCCGTCTTACAGAT